GATTCGAACCTGGGTCTTCTGCAAGAACAACCAGTGTTCTTAACTGCTGAGTCATCTCTCCAGCCTCCAGTGTTCTTAACCACTGAGTCATCTCTCCAGCCTCCAGTGTTCTTAACCGCTGAGCCATCTCTCCAGCCTCCATTTTTCTATTTTTGAGACAGTCTCACTAGGTAGGTTAGGCTGGCCTTGAACTCACCATCCTTCTGCCTTAGTTTGTTGAGTGCTGGATGATAGTGTGCCTCCAGACTGTTACGGTTGTGAAGTGTGAACTGAGTTTGCAACTTTTCTACTTCCTCCATTAGTGTAAAGTGATTGCTCACTGGTCACGTGTGTATTTTGCATGTGCAGGCTGTCCTCCACGGGCCCTTTAACCCTTATGAGCTGAAGTGCCATAGTCTGACCAGAATATCCAAGTTCAGGTATGATGAAATCGATTTCCTATGAAGTATTTTCTCAGTGCCTTTATTTATAGACCTCATCAGAAGCCTATCTTACTTTGTATCTAAGCTGCAAGAATTTAACTCATCTTAGTCCCCCCACCCCCTTCAAACCTCAGGAACTTTCCCTTTTTAGAGAAGTCAAGCAGTTCCACGCTCGACATTTTGAGTTTCTTTGGTCAGACTTGATTTCTGATTGTAGCTGAAATTCAGTAGGTGTGTGAGGCCCCTGTGTGCCAATGATATTCAGGGTTTTGGGAACAGTTTTGATGTGGGGAACAGTGGAGAACAAGATGCAGTTGTTTCACTGAGGCGATATGTCTAGTGGTGACAGCAGAGTGACAGGGATCCTGATAGGTGCCCAGTGTCCTATGGAAACACCTGGGCCCTGGCCACACTTCAAGGCCATACTGGAGGTTTTCCAGAGCTGTCTGAGGCCCAACGGCTGCCAGGTGTTTACCATGTAGCGTAGGATGATGAGGGTCAAGCGGTGGCTCATAAGTCACATTTTAGAGAAATTGGAACACAAGTGAGAAGGCTTAACCATGCACGTTTTAAAAGGACCACTCCAGTAAACCTTCGCTTCTCAGACTTCTGAGGACCAGGAGGGAGGGCATCCTTGAGAGCTGTAAATACAGCTCAGGCCCATGCAGTCCTTTAGAATGGGCAAGCCTGATCATAGCACTCAAAGAGGCCTGCAGGCCCACAGAAGCTTGGGAAGAGTGCGCTGGATTTTTGTTGAAGACTTGTCAGGCTGGAGCACACCTCTGAGTTTGGTTCCCTGTGTAACCTGAGGCCAGAGCAAGAGGTTTGGACACCAGCAGCTTCTGGAGCACGTTCAGAAATGGAACCGACAGGCTGGAGTTCAGCTAGGGCCAGTGATGAGGGCTGAGGAGAATGAAGTCCTCATGGGCCTGCAGCCCCTCTCTACATGAGGAGGCAGAGGAAAGGTGGTGGGGAGGACAGCAGGGGTAGAGAGGAGGTTTGAGAGACCACGTGTGGATGGCTCCTAAGGGTGGGGTGAGGAAGGGCGAGAGCTGGTACGAGGAGGGGCCTGGGCCTGAGTGCTGGTTGTGGCGTCACCTGTGTAAGCGTCTTCCTGAGGTGGCCAGGGAGGCAGCGGCTTGTGTCCTGCTTGTTCTTCCCAGGTGTGTCTGGATTGAGAAGGAGAGCATCAACTCTGTCCTCATTAGTGACAGCCCTGCCGACCTCCACCAGAGGATGCTGGTTGCAGCTTCACTCTCAGTTAATGAGACTGGTAGGGAGACAGCTTTGTTGTCCGCCATCTTCTCGTTGTCCTCGAGTGTTTTAACCTGTGGTGAATTAATTCGTGCTTCTGGGCCACACTATTAGGCTGTTTTCTGAATGCTGTGCAAACTTAAGAATGACACATTATCCCTTTGCTCTTTTTAAAAGTTTTTAAAAAATATATTATTTTTACGTGTATGAGTGTTATACCTGCATGTAGGTAAGTGCACCCGTGTCGTGCAGTGCCCGCGGAGGACAGAAGAGGCTGTCGGATCCCTTGGAACTGGAGTTACGAACAGTTGTTTGCTGCCATGTGGGTGCTGGGGTTTGAACCCAGGTCTTCTGCAAGGACAGTCTGTGTTCTTAACTGCTGAGCCATCTCTCTAGCCCCCTGCTTTTCTTTTTATACACGGGTGTGAGAATTAGTTAATTGATCCCTGTTCCTCTGTGCTTATCTACAAAGTTCTTCGCTCTAAGAAAACCTGATGGGACAGCCTAACGAGAGTGAAGAAAACAGTAACCAAATGTGTCATTCTCCAGTGGAATAAACGCCTAAGCATGCCATGAGTCCATCTGTAGGACAGGACATGCATTCCATGGAGGGGATCCATGGGATCAGACTCAGCAGATGAGCTGGCCAGATTAGAAGGAAGTGACGGGTGAGCACTGTGAGATGTCCTGACGCTGGCTCTCCTTCCACTGCAACAGGGTCTACCATGCTGCTGAGAGAGACCTCCCTGCTGCCTCACATCCCGGGCCTTCCAGCGCTCCTCAGCATGTTGTTTACACCAGTAATGGAGCTAAGGTAGGGTGTAGACCTCCATTGCACCTGTATTCAGGTTTTTGTAAAGTGAGAATCTGAGTGGGAAAGGGCTTTCCTTCCTCCTCCACAGGAGAGAGCATCCAGGGGAGCTGGGCTGTGGCCGTCTGGAGGGGAGCTGGGCTGTGGCCCGTCTGGAGGGGAGCTGGGCTGTGGCCCGTCTGGAGGCCTGCTTGGCCTCTGTGCTTCAGCATGATTCTGCTCGTCTGTCATTGGTGAACACAGCCCCTGGCTTAGGCGGGTTGGAATTTTTGATTTTTGTTTTTATGTGTGAGCCGTTCTAGTGGTGCCATTCAGCTGGTGGTGCTGTGCTGGGAGGTTGGTGGAGCCTTTGGGAGTGAGGCCTGGCTCCTGGAAGTAGACACAAGGGCCAGGCCTGGGAAGCGGATACCTGCTGCTGGTTCTGGCCTGCTTTCTCTGCTTCCTGACTACTGCTTTGTGAACAAGCAGCTGCCTCCTGTTTGTTCCTCAGTCATGAACTCTGTCCTGCCTTCCCCAACCATCATGGACTACAGCACCCCTGAAACTGTGACCAACCTAGCTTTTCACCGCTTAGGTTGTGTCTGTCAGGTATTTTGTCATGATGTCTAGAAAAGTAACACAGACGGACGTGTTGGGACAGGAGCACTGTAACTGGAGGGGCATCTGCTCTTATCCTTTGCTTGTTCACATAGTTCATATAGCTTGGGAGGGCACATGCAGCATCACAGGACCAGTTAATTAAAAGGCAAAAGAAACAGGGAGTGGAACATGGAGCGGTAAATATGGTGACTGCCGTCCTGTTCTACAGGCTTCAAATGGGAGTCCAGCATTTTGGTGGCCAGCTGCCAATAGGAACCCTGTCAACCTCTCTTCCAAAGGGAACTAGGAAGCTGGGAGGTGGGACTGGCCCGACGGAGTGTAGCCCTTGTGCTAGGATCCTACATGGATGCTTCCCAGAGATTTCAGCACAGAGAACTGTGATGAGACACAGGGGCTTCGTAACTGCCTCTGTGTGGGTGAGGCACTGTGTTAAGTTTGATCACTATGACAAGCCTGAGAAAACAACTTGAAGAAGGTTCGTATAGTTCATGGTCATGGGTTTCTCCAGGTGTTTTCCGCTCCGGTTTGGGGCCTGTAGCAGGGGGAGGTCAGGACAGAGGCATGTGGCCACCAGGAAGCAGAGCTAAAGAAGGAACCAGTCTCCCAATAGACTCTTCAAGAACACATCCAGTGACCTCAGCTTCTCCTGCTGGGCACCAACTCCTAAAGGCTCCCACCTCCCAATAGTAGGCAGAGGACTAAATCAGCAGTGGGTCTTCTGAGGAGCTGCTTAAGCTCTGAACCACAGAATACTGCTTGGGTTACTTTTATTTACTTGAGACTTAGAACAGAAGCCAGGTTTGATGATTCATGTTTGTAAATCCTAATAATTGAGAGGCTGGTGCAGGAGGATTGTGGATGCAGGGCCAGCAAATTGGAGACTGCTGTGGGCTACATAACGAGAGCCTTGTTCTTGCAGACATAGCTCAAGTGCACGTGTCACTGCATGGGAGTAGCCAGTTTGCCCTGTTGCCACCGCTGTAAGGATGAGGTACCATCAGGTTCTAACAGAATTGATTGTTCACTACCTGTTCTAAAAAGATTTTGTGTGAAAGGAAATAATTTATGTTAATGTAGCAGGCTTAGTATTTAAAGAAGCATTAAATTTTTATTTATATGCTTTGCGCATGCATACTGCAGGATGCATGTGGATGGAGAGGACAGCTTGTGGTCAGCTCTCACCTCCTACCATGTGGGTCCCCAGGACTGAACTCAGGTTGTCAGGCTTAGGAGCAGGTGCCCTTATCCACTGACCAACCCAGTGACCCAAAAGAAACATTAAGTTTTGTTTATTACTTTGGTGTGTGTGTGTGTGTGTGTACTTTATGTGGGTTCTGAGGATTGAACCGAGGTACTCAGTGAGACCCCCCCCCACCTTTTTTTTTCTGGTCTCCTTGTAGCCCCAGCTGGCCTGGCACTCCCTATGTAGACAGACTGGCCTCAGTCTCACAGAGATCCTGTGAGTTCAAGGCCTCTGCCTCCTAAGTGCATAAAGGCATGTGCCACAATACCAAGCCCATGCCAGGCCCAAGAAACATTTTTGTGACTATAAAGAAAACAGTTCAACACTTAGTTTACAAGTCTGACTTGTAGTGGAGTTTACTTAAAAGCTGTTCAAGGCAAGCCTGGTCTACATAGTGAATCCCAGGACAGCTGGAGCTACAGGGAGACCCTGTCTCAAAAATAATAAAAAAAAAAAAAAAAAAAAAAAAAAAAAAAAAAAAAAAAAAGAAATCCAGTAATGTGTTAATGTATTTAACATACTGTCCGTATAGTGTATTTAGTCTGTATTTCTGTGTAAAATACTTAGATACTCTACCAGTGCTGGAAGACTGTAGGATGATTTTGTGAGTTACTTGTCTAATCCAGAAATGGTAGTTTTAAGTCCTAAAACCATTTTTTCAGAGTTGACCGGGATGGAAAGGGCTATACTGGGGCCCTTTGTGGTCTGGGATGGAATTCGACCTCCGAGACCCCTATCCTGCCAGAGCATGACATCGAGCTGGCCTTTGATGTGCACTTCAGTGTGGAGGATATCATTGAGGTGTGTATGGCACCCTTGGTACGGGTGGTTACTCCTCTCTCTCATTTTGATTTTACACCCATGTGACTTAGCTTCTGCCTTGGTGCTTTGCATGGAGACACAGACCCGCTCCCCAGGCACCTTCTGCCAGTGTAGAGAGAGCTCTCCCTACCAGCCTCTGTTCTGAGATGCTGCTTTCTGACTGCTGGTATCTCTCATTTGGGGTCTTCTAGTGCAGGAAGCTTTTCTGGGCATTCAAGTTTTGGAAGTTGTTTCCAAAGCAGCAGGAGCTGTGGGCCTCTCTGTGATCCCCTCCTCACTGGTAAATAGGGAAATGCAGACAAAAACTGTGTCTCATTGTGCCCAGGGCTGGTGCCAGTGAGGCTATCTGTACCAGTTTGGGTGGGTGTGACTAGCAGCCCAGGTTAAGCTTTCAGAACTTGTGGAGCAAGTGGACAAACTGATTGTCTTTTGAATTTGATAATGAAAAATGTTTGCTTGTTTTTTCTGTTTTTGTTTTCACATGTCCTTGTTCTAGTAATTAATTTTTGTTAGCATTTTACCAAGAAAAATCCTAAAACTGATCCTTCTCAAAAAAATGTCTTGAGAATTGCTACTCCAGGGCACCTTCCTTCTCCACCGGGGTAGTGGAGGTTGACCAGCTAACCAGGAGAGCAGGGAAAGAGGGGGCAGGAGAGTCACACCATCTTCACTCCTGGAGTTTAGGGGCTGGTCAGTGTCCTCTGGGGCAAAGAACAGAGCTGACACCCAGAATGTTTTTTGATGGGATCACCCAGCTTGGGAGCCACGGCTCCTTGGAGAACTATCTGCTCCTAGGGCTGGAGCAGGAGATGAGCTTCTTGTGGCGCCAGGAAGGAAGGATGCACTCAAAGCACACAGGGATGGGTGTGTCCAAGGACAAGGAGCCAGTGAGAGTACAAGCTGCCAGTGGGCAGAGCTGGAGCAGTGTGGGCAGCAAAGTAAATATATAACCTAAAGTGTGAAGCATCCATGAGTTCAGCTGGAGAGAAGTGGTTGGATAACTCAGTGGGGAAAACGGTGGTTCTTACAGAATTCCCACGAGTGCAGGAAGGTGCTACAGGTCTTGGAGGACAGGTGAGATTTGATGAACCAGAGTAGGGAAGGGGGTGTTTCCAGCAAAGAAGCTCTGCAAACTCCTTAGCCGCCCTATCAGCCACGTCCCAGCAGTGAGTAGTCATGGTGCAGGCAGGCCTGGGCAGTGTGAGGAGAGGGCAGTGCCTCCCCTTTGGACAGTGGCAGACAAACTCAAAATGGGGAGCGTGCTACAAAATGCCTGCCAGAGCCTCCAAATTGCCATGGTCTTGAAAAGCAAGAAATGGCTGGGAAGCTATCCCATACCAGAGGACTGGGTCCTGGAGGAGAAACGGGGCAGTAATGGAAAAATGGGTCAAAGCTAAACAGTTGAAGTTTGGTTCATGGCAGTGTTTGAGAATTGTCCCCTCAGCTATAAGAAGCGAGAGGGGGACTGGATACAGGCTTAGGAGCCTGTCTGTTCTACCTTGTGACTCTTGAGATAGGCCTAGAGCTAAAACTACTCAAAAAGAGAAAGTCTATTCTAAGCAGACAAAACAAAACAAACAAGCTGGCTAAGGCAGAGCATTGAACCCACAGTGGGAAGGACCACCACCAAAGCCAGGAGGCAGGGTGGCAGTCAGCACACTGAAGGTTGGGGAAGTGTTCAGACCATAGTCTGAAGCTTTCTTGCTGTTGTGAATTTGTCTCTGACTGTTGTTTCTTTAGTTATAATAGTAATTATTGATGTTGTTTCTGTTGTTTTACTGATTTTCTCAGAAATTTTACTGATGTTAATCACAAAACACAGCTTTGAATGTTACAAATTGTTTACTGTGAAAGGAAGTACAACTCCATGTCACTGTTTATTTACAGATTAATATCCTCAGGGCTGCTATTAATAAGCTAGTGTGTGATGGGCCAAATGGATCCAAGTATCTTGGGCCAGAAAGAATTGCACAGTTACAAGAGAATGCTCGTCAGAAACTTCTAGGGTAAGTTGTATAGATGTACAGCTAGGGTATATGCTGTATTTTTTATATATATTTATATATATGTATATATATGTATGTATATATGTATTATACACACATACATATATTTATATATTTTTAAGCTTGTTTTGATTTGCGAATGTTTTGAATCACTTACGAGATATGACAGATCAGTCACCTGACATGGGAATCCAGTGTTAAGGCACTCCTGGAGGCATTGGAATATGGGTTCTATGTCTCTGTCATTTGTGGGTATGGACAAGGCAGAGTGAACACCCATTGGGCATTGAGGAAAGAGTGGTAAAGAGGTCATTCTGTATAGTAGGGCAAGGCACAGGGACCATAGTGAGTGATGCCACAACCCGCATCACTGGTGGCACTGTGGGGCCCAAGGGAGTGAAGGTAGGCTGTGTTTTGGGAGACTGAGTGGGCCCAAGACCAGCCCCACCCTCCCCTGACCTTTCACTTTCACTGGCATTTCCATGGACAAACCCAGCTATTGTTGCTGCCGGTGGGCTGCCGTTGCCTCCCATGTCTGGGATATAGGAGTGCACCACTGCGCCCACTTGGCTTTCTCTTTTTAAAGGCCCAAGGGAGTGAAGGTAGGCTGTGTTTTGGGAGACTGAGTGGGCCCAAGACCAGCCCCACCCTCCCCTGACCTTTCACTTTCACTGGCATTTCCATGGACAAACCCAGCTATTGTTGCTGCCGGTGGGCTGCCGTTGCCTCCCATGTCTGGGATATAGGAGTGCACCACTGCGCCCACTTGGCTTTCTCTTTTTAAAGTATTTTTATTTTATGTGTATGAGTGTTTTGCCTGCATGTGTATAAGTGTACCACATGCATGCAATGCCTGCAGAGGGTGTCAGATCCCCTAGAACTGGAGTTACAGATGGTTGTTAGCTACCACATGGGTGCTGGGAATTGAACCTGGGTCCTCTGGAAGAACAGCAAGTCTTGAGCCATCCCTCCAACCCCTCTCACTTTCTTTTTTTCTTTTTTGTTCTTTTTTTTTTTTTTTTCGGTTTTTTTTAGACT